GTGCCTGAGCTTCAGCAGTTTCATCTCAGGATCCGCTTGCTGGAAGAAGCAGCTTCGTGTTCAAAGCTGTGTTCAACTGTGGCATTAATTACTGGCTAGAAATGCACTTTGCCCTTTTAGTCCTGGTGCTGGGCATGGAAATTCCTTTGAGTCCTGCAACTGGAACAGAAAAATGGGGTGCGTGATAAAATTTATGTGTTACAACGTGCCAAGCCTCTTCCTTGAAGAGGATTTTCATCTAGAACAGAGGGTTCACTGCAGCTGCTTGGCAGTGTTCGCTTTGGGACTGAAAGTGCTGGGTTTTGTTGAGGCAAACCCAGCTCTGTTCCGTCCCTGCGCCCCTCCTGCAGGGATGGGAGTGGGAGGGATGCTTTCGTATGCAAGCTAGCTCGCTGCTGAGGGGTGCAGTTGGCTTAACAGCTGCAATAACTTCTCTCTCTGACTTTTTACCCTGTGTGTCGCTTAGTTACACAGAGTAACAAAAATGGACTGAGAAAAGATGACTTCTTCTGTTAGTTTTTGTGTGCTTATTGCATGAATTTAACGGTAGCGAGGGTGTAATTTTCCCTCACACGCCTGTCTGGACAGTTAGTCAGTCTTGTTTGTTGTGGATCTTCTATGTAGCAGCTGGGGAAGAGAAAGTTTAAGACAGGAAAATGTGAGTGTAAAGAAATACTATTGGGTAGTGCAAATAATACCTGAAGCTCATCTTAATGCTCTTGTGAAGAACTGGATTTCAAGTGAATGTCCCTTTAATTTAAGGCTGCTAATAACGCCAGAGCTGGTATTTGCCACTGTGTGGAATGTGATTTAGCCGTACTCTTGCTGGTTCTGACAGGGGGAAGCATCTCTGAGTATTAACTGTAAGTAAAAATGAAATGCTTCTGTTGTTAGGCTGAGGAGGGGACTCCACAAGTAGACCCTGATTGAAAAGGGGACCTGGACTGGCTTGTCTTCACCGCTCTGCCAAAATCCTTTTTCCAATCAAAATAGGAATCTCACTGGAAAAAGAGAGGGTTAGAGAAAGACTTTACAGCTCAGTGGTTGAAAGCTGAGAGATGTGGGACCTCCTGTACTCCTGCTGATATCAAGGGGGATTGCCATGGTGCTGTAGAAACCTTGGGGTCAGCTGTGGAGCTGTTGTGCTGCTCAGAGACTGGAAAAGATAAAAAGCAAAACTGTAATTGTATATGGTTAGGAAAATAAACCAAAAATATAAGAATGGCTGACCTGTAGAGCTGTTCAGGTTTTTTTTCTCCCTTCCTCTCTCTTCTGTCCCTCCCCTAGAGTGGTCCCTTTCTCTCTACAGCGCGGTAGAGGATCTCCGAACTGTGGTACGGTATTTTTAGGACCGTGGTTCTTAGCCCTCGTTACGCTGTGCACAGCTCGCTCTGTATCACATGACAGCACAGGGAGCCCAGGAAAGAGCGGCTGCCAAGCCGTGCTTGGTGTTTCCTCGGCGCAGCTGTACGTTGAGTGTCAGCCGAACCAGAGGTAAATCTGTTGGGTGCAGAGCAGGGGAAGCTGTGCTGCTGTGTACTGTGAGCTTGAGAAAGGAGGAGGGAGCGTGGTTCTTAGCCTGGGAGCTTCGATGTTCAACTGAGGGCCAAAAACTAGGAGCTGCTTCAAAAATAAACCTTGAAGTGGGAGCCGGGTGCCTGCTGTCTGTCTCAGCCAGGTTAGGCCATGCCCTGGTAGGTGAACACCCCAGGAGAGGAGGGGCTCAGCTGTGGTCCTCCATCCTCAGTGCTCAAACCGCTAGGCTATTGTCTAGAAACTGCATTTACATTCTTTACTGTGGACTTTCCAACAAGAAAAAGAGACTTCTGTTGTGTTTCAAAAGGGTGGTTTTGGGTTCCTGCAAAAGTGAGTGCCTACTAGTTCACCAGGTGGGTGACGGGGCTTCAGTTCAGCTCCAGAGCTCGGTGTCTCCTGGGCGGATGGGAAGCAGCTAGCAGCCAGGCTTCGGCAGCCCTGGGAGCCCGAGTCCCTTCCTAAGACACGGACTCAGTCGTTTGCTCAGGATGGCACGGGGAGCCTGGGGAGGGGCAGGTTAACAGCCTGGCGGGAGAAGCGTCCTCCTTGTTAGCGTTCCCCTTGGCGAGCGCTGCCCCGTGGAGCCCAGGGTGAGGCAGGTAGCGGCTTGATTTCATGTGCTGGGGCTTTATGACCACATTCTGTGCATTCCTACGAGACTGGCTGTTGTGTAATGGGGTGTAATCCTGGAAGGACTCACGTTCCAGTCCGGCAGATAGAAGGGGAGAAAGGGTAGGGGAATGAGGTCATTAAAGACCTATCCCTATGAATTAGGCAGTGACAGCTGAAAACCTTATCACCCAGGGGCTATTTTAAAAACAAGCATATCTTGCAAATAGGCTCAGTTTAAAATGTTAGTTAACTCGTGGGGAATTTTTAATAAGCAAGAATGCCCGTTATCATGAAATAATCTATATCCCACCCAAATTAGCCAAACCATTTAATTTTTCTTTTTGTCCCTGAGCTATCTTTGTATAATTGACAAGTTGTTATGCACTTGAATTTGAAGAACTGGTTTGTGGGGGGAAGCAAGTCTATTTGCCTTGCCTTGGGAGGCCATCTGCCAAGTGAGATGCCTTGTGACTTTTTTTTTTTGAGGAAGATAATTAGCAAGAAAATAGCCCTTAAGAAAAAGGAAATTGCTTAAAATGGCATAGTATCAGTGAGCCATTTTGGTTTTGAACAGTTCATTTAAATGTGGGGTTTTTTAATCGAAGCTGGATAACACAGTCACTAAGGGACTCCATGGCGCAGTTCCGGAAGAGGGAGCCTTGGCCTGGCTGAAGGCATAGGAATTTTTCCATCGATTCCAGCAGCATCAGGATTTGACTAAAGTCGTTACAGTCCTGATATAAGCAAAATTTATTGCTGGATTTTTGCCCTGAGAAAGAATGGAGAATGAGCTGACATTTGAAGATTTGGCTGGTTGAAATATCAAGAATAAACTGGTTCTTTGTCCTATTGCTTTGCCATGTAAGATTCTGCTGGTAGAAAGCAGGTGGTACTTACACTTATGGGTAGATTACTCTGAGAGTGGTTAGGAGGCTTTGGAATGGGTGCCAGAATGGCAACAAGGTAGAAGAGCACTCCTGAATACTCTCCTCATTCCCATGAGCGGAGGCATTAGAGCGGCATTTCTCATCCTTGATGGACCATCTTATTTGGTTTGGGGTGTGGGGGAGAGGAGGGGCAGGGGGGAGAGAGAGAGGGAGAAGGAGAGGGAGGGAGGGGAAGGGTGTTAAAACCATCCCTAGACTATTTTGGCCACAGTAGCTTTCACTCACAAGAACAAAGACCACGATAAATTTGACATTTCCAAGTGTTCCTCATCACTCTTCTGTATTTCTCCCGTCGTGCTCACTTGCATGCCTGGAAAGGCTTGTGCCTAGCTTGGTTTAGTTTTCTGCAAATTTGTGGAATCTCATCCAATTCGTGCTGCAAGTGGCTCAAGGAGCACGAGCTGAGATCACTGCAACAGGACATAGCAAGTAGGCTGCTAGGACAATGTGATGCCATGCTCCATTGCCTGCATGTTGTTTAATTCTTATGTTCTGACACCAGGACAACCTCCATTTGTCTTTATTGCTGTAGATAACTCAAGGAAGGGGAGATACATCTCTAACCCGTGGCGGGAAGGAAGAGGGGAGGAATTGACACACAGGAGCGTTCCAAACAGAGTAAGTTCAGATACTCTCTCCACTCCCTCTCTGGAAATAGAGGTAGCATCCCTCACGTCCCCCAGACTTCAAACTATCCTGAATTATTTCTGTAGTTGATTTCTGATTTGTAGAATGTTTTTAAGCAATTTCTTTGAGCTCTGTGGCTGTGACCGTAAACTTGCCAGGTTAGATAGTCGCGATTCTGGGAACTAAGGCCTGAAAGCAAGTGGTTTGGGCTTTTTGTTGTTGTTGTGAGTTTGGTTTTGTTTGTTTGTTTTTTAATTCTCATCAATTATTTGCAAATATTTGCTGCTTCTGGGAATTCAGTTCCCTGAAATATAACATAAAGTTCAAAGACAATAATACCAGCCAAAGTATTGTCACTTAAAGTAAGATGGAGAACTGTGGAAATCTGCTTTTGGTTTTCTTTAGGCATAAGAGTTGGAGCACATAATTAGAGCTTTAGTGGCCAGAAGAAGAATGTAGGACAGAAAAATGATCCAGCCCTTCACACGTGGTACAGACTGAGAGCCAAGCCCCACTACCTTTCCAATCAATTAGACAAAGCAAAATGCTGGGTTTGTGCCTGGTCTGGACTCTCTAGTGTCTTTCCTGATAAGAGTTTTGTTCAGCCAAAAATACCATCCTAATATATAAGATCCTCTTGGGTTTTATGGTTTTCTAGTTTACTACTTAACATAATCTAATTTATAATCTGGGTTTTTTTTAACAGAAATCAGTAATTACTCTTGTTTAGAACAACTTATATGCTCTGTTGTTAAAGACCAATGAGTGGTATCATCTATGGACTTTAAAGAGCCTTCATAATTTGCACAAGCCAATATTCATCTTATCTAGACAGAAAGATATGCCTTCATCAGTGCAACTCTTCAGAGATCAGAAGTACCACGAGCTGAAAGGGCAGTGTATCCAGCAGAGACGGCTCTTCGAAGATCCTGAGTTTCCAGCCTCGGATGTGTCCCTTTTCTATCAATCAGCCCCACCAAGGAAAGTTGAATGGAAGCGCCCAAAGGTAATTGATGCTATCCTTGTGAGGAGGTGCTCTTTGTATTGTTCCACTCCTACTGCCTTCCCTGTGCTGAAACACGGTTATGTGAGTATATTCTCCCTCCCTTTTTTCATTCATTTCCTGTCACTGTGTGATTCAGACAGCAGCTCCTCCATGTCACACTGCTGTCCGAAATGAAAGTCATGCCTTACTGTAAAAAGACAAAAGGTGGTGTTCTGTGCAGCATAATCATGCTTTTTACTGTTGATGGCTCTCTAATAACAAGCAGCAGTTTGAGATGACTCCAGCCATAGTGATGTTTAAATCAGCCCACTATTTAATTAAGAATACCAGTAATTAATTAAGAATACCATCGGTCAATACAGGAATATGTTCTGCGAATAAATTCTTCATTTCCTGGGTCAATCTGTGGACATGTACCTGTCTAGGTTGCTGTGTTGACAGAAGCATTTCAGCAAGGTGTTGAGATTCTTAATTGAAGTTTCTTTTCAATACCTGTCACTTCTGAGGGCCTGGTGTGTATGCACAGTAATTGCAATATAAAATCTGAGCTTTAGCTATCCAATCTAGTGCCCCCTCCAAGCGCGCTCTCTCTCTCTCTCTCAGATATAACCCTTGCAAAAAACACTATAGAAAATTAGATTTTATTAACTGAATAGATAGTATCTTCCTGCTTGGAATACTGGAAACAACTCAAATAATAATGTAGGATTACTGTTCATTATTATAGCTCTCTGCATGTTTTCAGAGTAGCTGGTGCCTTATTAAAATGTATGGGGAAAGGAAATCTCACAGTAGCAAGGGGAAGTTTCTCCAATGTCAGATAGCTGGCTAGTTCATTTATATCTATAAACAAATGATTTGTAATTTTTCTTGGAGGAGAGAGTAGGAAAGAGAAGAGCCACAGTCCGCCCAGCAAGGGGTCTATCTGAGGCAGCAAACAGCAAGGCACCGTTGGTGGAGTGGTCTTGTTACACTAAAAAAATGCTTAGATATTTCTAACTGCCACCAATGGAATGAATTGAGAGCCCCCATTATCAGCACATACCCACTTTCTGGTCGAAGCAAATGGATTCATTTCTGTTCCACAGGGAACTAACTTGTGCTTCCAGAATCAGTTGGTTTGCTCTCTACATAGTGCCAAAAATAAGAGGAAACCATGTGTGTATAGTTGGCTGCCTGGTTACCTTTTGTATTAACTGTACTGGAACCACAAAGCCCAGCTACGTATGGGTCTTAAGAGCTTTGAACGACTTCTGCAATATAAGGCAGGATGCTCACAAGCTACTCCCAGGGAACACTCAACTACACAGATGTGTAGCTGATGCAGAGGAGAGAAGGTGAGCTCCCAAGAGGTGTCTAAGCAAACCTTTGTTCTGTAGTGAACTTGATACCTGCTTCCGCGGCTTTGTTTCAGAGAGGTTCTGGTGAAATCTTAGCAGCAAGTTTTACCCAGAGTGAATGGAGAGTTTTCCTTTATTGACTGATATCGTCTCTGGTGTCTGCATGGCTATGCTGAAGTTACTGTGGATTTTGCCTTTGAGTTCTATAAAACCTCGATTACACACCAGTGATTTCATATTCAAAATGAACAGCTATTGTCTGTACACAACCAATAATGCTTATGTCTATTTGCCATTTTTACTAGCATCTTAACAGGAAAACAAATGTCATTCACTTCTAATTGTGACTAATGTACTAGACGTTTAAATTGTTAATATTACTTATATTTGGGGTCTGTTAATTGGTTTGCTCTGAGGTTTTATGCTTCACATATCTTGTATTTATAAAGTAGTTCACAGCCATAAGCAAATAACTCAGAAGAACACAAAATCACTCCCAACTTTGACAGTGTGGCTTTCCATCAGAGAGTGTAATCTGTTCTCATACTCTGACAAGTGTAATGAAGAGGACAGCCTCTAGCCAGATGCACACAGTGTTTTTACCCATAAGCGTGATAAATTTGTCCTTTACTTCACCCATGTCCACTTTTGGGATTAGGGTTAATCTTCTGGAAGCACACACTTGGGTGTCTTTTCTTAGAAAACATGATGCCAATGACAATGTGATCTACTTCATATGCAGCTGGTACTGTTCCCTGTCCTCTGTGATGGGGGATAACAGATAAGGCTGACCAAGGCTGCGCTGTATTTGCCAGGATGGCATTAGACTGTTTTTCTTCTTCTTCTTCTTCTTCTTCTTTTTTTTCTCCTGGTGGTGTTCATTTCTCACAGCAGCTTCAATACTGAAATTTTAGTGAGCAGAGCAAGGGTTGCTTTCCTGCTTCTCATTTTAGTTTTCCAAGTAAGACATGAGACTGAAGAACAGGGAGACTGAACTTGGAAAAAAATGTAGGTATTCCAAAGTCTTTGGGTTTATTTTTATTTCTGTAGTGCTTTCCTGTTTATTGGAGTCTTTCGTCCCCTCTCAGAAGGGGAAATACGGTGCAACCAGTCACAGCAAGGTCAGGGAAAGTTTTTGTGCTTCCTAAGAGATGTGAAGCAAGAGCTAGACTCTAGACAAGGATGCCATTTTAGGCTGTTCTTTTGTGTGTGTGTTCATTCAAGGTGGTGGTGATCAGTGGTACGAAGTCTAGTTGAAGGCCAGTAACTAACATTGTACCCCAGGGGTCAATACTGAATCCAATCCTGTTCAACATCTTCATTAATGATCTGGATGATGACGTGGGGGCATTGGACTAGATGACCTCCAAAGGTCCCTTTCAACCTCAGCCATTCTGTGATTCAGTGTTCTATTCTAAAGCTGTGCCTTCCTTGCTCTCCTTCCTTGCTCCAAGATAGAGCAGCTCTTGGGGCCCATGTGGGGCTACTCCTACAGATTTGTGAACAATACCTAGAGTATCCCAGTCTTGCCCTTCTTGGGTGGGAGAGGGATTTGATGCCTAGGATGTGGTGGAAGCTGCCTTTGTTCTCATGGTGAGCCTGTTAGAACATCTTGAGAGAGAGGGGCTTGTCTCTGTGCAGCAGAGCAGAGGTGAGGAATTACTTCCCAATGTTTATGGGTTATCTCCTCTCTGCCATATGGAACTATATTGTTCTCTAAGTTAACTGGCTGAATGCTTAATTGTCCTTTTGGAGTGATGGGCCGTCCAGAGTGTTTCCTTTTTTGGAGAGGGAAACGGCCTTGCAATATGAGCATAAGGCAAAGGCCAGAACCGTCATCTAGTGAGACAGATTCTGAGCAGGCCACTTAGTCATCTTGCCTCACCAACTCACCCAGAAACTACAGCTTTGTCTCCCCCAGCCACCCCCAGATGTTTGTACAGCATGTGGAATGTGAAGGAACTAAATGGTAATACCCTGTTTCCTGTCCTTCCACCATCTACATAGGCAGTGAATAGCCTGTCCAGATGCTGGTACTTGTATACTAGTAGGAGCAAGCAGCTTTTTGCTTTAGAGAGCTGGTGTAGCTGTCTGAGCAGCTGGGGAGTGCTGCCCAGCGCACACAGAGCTGGGGGATGCCGCTGCAATTGTTGTTGCTGATGCTGGTGTCCAAACAAGTACATCTGGGATCTGTGAATCTAAAGCTTTTCTGAGGAGAGGTGAAAGCTGGTATTTTAGTTTCAGCTCACAAATATGCTCATGCTTTGTTCAGTTACCCTAAATGGTTGGTGGTGGCCATAAGAGCAAATGCTTAGGAAGAGTATCTGTATAGTCAAAAAGGTTTTATTCTGCTCTAACGGAAAAAGGAGTATAAGTGAGAGAGAAAAGTGGAGGCGGGGTAAAGGGTTTCTTCCACTTTGTTTTTGTCCTTGGATCTGCACCTGCAATGTTAAACATGTTCTGTTTGCTCATTCCAGTCAGACTCACAGCGATAGGTCATTAACAATCTGACATTAATTACTTGTTTTGTACTTTTAAAGTCTCTTTGGGAAAGAGAACAAGGACAGGGTAGTGTTACTTCTGTGGCACCCCAGTATTAAGAAACTGGCAAACACAAAAGGCACTGTGTAATTACTGTGCAGTCTCCCTAGGATGGCGTGACTTTTCAAGGAGAAATGTTGTTACGGAAAGATCATCCAATAAATAAGAGCGCTGCAGACTGCTTATGTGCAGTACTGGGTCTTGGTTTCTTTGGGTGCAGTGTGGCATGGTATGCAGTTGGCAGGCCAGGCTAGCGGGTTCTTGATTGTACACAGGAGCTTAGGTGCGTGTTTGCTGATAATGCTGTATTTCAGTGCTGGGTAGTAAATGAACTCAAAAGGTCTGACCCCACCTGGGATATCTGATAGAGCTGGCTGAAACGTGGAATTGGCAAGTTGTAGCACTCCGAAATTCCGTATTTTATTCTAAGGAGGAAAAAGAAAAGTCTGAATGTGCCAGAAGATTTGCCTAAAAATGAGCTTGGACCTTATTTTGCTTTGCTTCTGTATCACCTTCCTTTGTGACACTGTCCACACCAGTGACGGGTTATGAAAAGTAAAAATAGTATAAAAATGCCAAATTGTTTTTCACTTGTGTGAAAAAAATCTGGAGATGTTGGACTTGATTTCATAGAAAAAAATCATCTTTGTCAGAGTGACATTTTCTGACAGAATTGTTGACAGATGACACTGGTGTCAGACTGCTGGCTGTGATTTCCCTGGCAGTCAGTCTCGCCCCCTGCCCTTCTGGCCTGCTGTAGCCCCAGGGGAGGGGAGGGTCTTTCCCCACCGACCCTTTGGTTGCTCAGCCCAAGGCAGTTTATGGGCACTTCGGGCAGGACTCGCCTAGCCCAAAGGTTAGTTGCTCGTAATGGATGTCTGATGTGGGGCAGTCAGCACCAGCTCCCATTGCAGGCAGTGGAGAGGAATTGATGTGTTTAGGGTGTGATTCAACTGACATACCTGCGATGTTGGCTTCAGGCTGAGATGAAGCATAACCCCCAAGCGCGTGGTCTCTGCCGACCAGAAGTTCAGACGGTGAATTCGGGTGTTGATGCCAACAACATGAATCCTTTGCTAGTGTTTCAGGATGTTGGGCTCTGCTGGTATCTCAGTTCCT